ATCTTCAGGACACTACAAAGTTAAGAGAGCAAAATACAATCAAAAAAATTTAAAAATTTAACAAACAACTTAAAACACATATCAGTGGAATTCCACACATATACAATTGGTAAAACTACCCTAATGTTAACAATTAAATAAAATATATGTATATGTTATAAATTTAAGATCGCTTGTAAATAAAAATAATAACGGATAAGGCCAGAATATAATCAGGATATTTTCTATTCGCATTTAACGAAAATCGACGATGGTGGCACTGTTTTACAAAAACTACCAGGATCAGAACTAAAATCAGCTCAATAAACGATCTCAAATTACTTCAAAAGCACTTGAAGAAAATGAAAAACACTTAACCTAGGGTTGGCAACTTTGAAAATAAAAAATAGGGGCGAGAGGATAAAAAGAGGCACAGGCGAAACATTTTTGAAACGTCGCTCAAATGTCGAGAATTTACCAAAAAGTTATATAAACGGTATGCGATAAATATTTAAAACAAACAAAAATATTTATACTCAAAACTTAAAATAAAGCAAACCATTGTCAACAAAACTTTTTTTCAAGACATAAACTAACAGTAAGTAAACATAAAATTACATAAAAGACACAGATTAACAATTCTTTAAAGCATTGTGGCGATAAACGAATATTTTTTAGATTTTAAAGTTGGTATGCAACAAAGTTTTCAATACGTGAGAGAAAAGAGGACAATCAGATCAAAAGAGGACTGTTTCTGGAATGGAGGACGGTTGCGAACTCTATTTTAACCCCCTGTAGCTACGAATCAAAGCAGAATTGGATTGGTTGATATAAAAAATAAATCTTATTTTTACGTGAGGAACTTCCCCACGAGAGATGGAACATGTTTTTAGAAACACCCTGTATATGTTTGTTTAATTTCAAAATAGGTAAAAAAACAAGCTAGATAAATTAAAGGAATTCATGATAAATTTAAATTATATTGGGACTGTTTACATAAAAAAAAACTGGAGAACGCCGACTGAGCTACCTGGAGATAACGGCACGGCAGCGGCGGCGGCGGAGCCTTCTGCCATTGCCATTTTTTTGAGTCTTTAATTATTTTATTCAATAATATATTTTGTATGTGGTTTGTATATCTATAAAAAAATTTCTATAGTTTGTATATCTATAAATTTCTATAAACAGCGCTTTCAGATGGAGCGCTGGTACGCGCGGGATGGTACGCGCAGAGCGTCCGCACGGATGTTTTTACAAGATAGCCCATCCGGACGGAGCATACGCGACCCAGGTGAAATTGCTCATATAAGCTCATGGTACTTGCTGGAAGTCGCGGACGGTCCGTCGCGGACGCTCCGTTCCATCTGAAAGCGCTGTAAGATAAGACCTAATTCGACTTTATTTATTTAAAAAATTAGAAATTTAAGTAATTAAGATTTAAATTATTAATTTAAAAATCTACATTTAAATACCAATAACTAACCTGGAACATATATTGTAAACAATATATCTGCATTTCTTCATTTCTAAAGTTGTATATTTTTTCAAGGTATTCACACAATTCGCCACATTATTATTTTATGGCTTTCCATCATTGCAGCACGCTTATTAATAATTTTTAAATTATTAATATGTATATAATTTAAAATCTAATTCCCAGTTTTTTAACCCTTCGCCGTAATGTGCTTTCTGAACAGGTTTTTTTTTAAGCTCGGAGAGTTTTAACATTGAAAATGTTTCTGTTATCCTATATATGGGAGCCCAAATCGAATTAAAATGCTACATTTGCCACACCATGACGTCATATATACAAGGGTATAGGAAATCTCGGCGCAGCGGCGGCAGTCGGCCAGCGCGCGAAAAAACCATTACATCGCTAATTGTTTATTGATATATCTTTATTAGTCTAAAAGCAAAAAATATGGGGTTTGCTTTGATACCTTGTCAAGACATAAGCGAAACTTTTAAATTGTTTCTTTTTTTCATTTAGGCTTTCGTTTTTCGTTAAATGAAAGTTATATTCAAAATAATTCTATTTTAAACCAAATTTTCGCATGATTGACATGATTATTCATGTTTAAAGTTTTTTTTGGTCATAAGCGCTAATGGAAATGTTTTTTTGTAAATAATTATAAAAAATTACTCCCTACGAAGACTTTATTGTGTACTGGATCAAAAAATAAGTATTTGTTTTCTCTATACGATGGTATTAATATATCGATTTTTGATGATAGTGCCCTTTTACCCGGTCTTTTTTTGTACTACTTTCGGAATAAGGGTCCCCATATCATGTACTGTACTTCCATCCCTGAAAAATTCAGCTTGTGACACCGAAGTGAGAGGTAAAGTCAAAATAAGCTTTAATCTACCTACATCATAGGTAAGTGTAGGTACTCTAGGTATATTCTGCCTAAACAGTAGCGGAACTAGCTGACAGTAGTAATTAATTTGTTATCCGATAAGTAGTTGTCATTATATAAGTTTAATCATCTTATACCTCCTATAACGGTAGGTTTTAGATTTTTCCTGATTGGTTTGTTAAACAAAAATATACTGGGCATATAAATGTCTGTTACAGTTTAATTCGTTAAAGAAATATGTTACACACATATTATTTTAATAATAATAGTATAATAGTAATGGCTATATTATGTTATAACACATACATATGTATTGAATGTACTTATTTTAACCAATGCATTGTTTTGTTTTTTTAATCTCACAAATAAGAAATGTTTTATAGTTTTTATTATAAAGAACAGTGATTATACAATTTATTTACACCCCTTACACTGTTTTCTGGAATACACCCCAAACCAGGACTATTTTTCGTAACCTCTTACAATATAAGAGGGCACAAAGTGTTTTATTACTTAATGCTTAGATTAAAATTTAATAATATATTTGTACATAAAATAAAATAGACTAGAAAGTCAATTAATTAATATTGACGTAATTACTAAATAAGTACAAGATTTTTTTTAATTATTTTAGTGTATTTTAGTCACCCAATTATAAAGGGAGAGATATCCAACCACATTATTTTCTCTTAATTCACAACAAATGTTTTTTTTTTCACAGCTTAAAGTTGGTTTTAGCGACTAAGTCGGATAATTTTATCAACGACCTAATCAGTGGTCTTCAACACAGTAAAGGAATCGATAGAACAGGTAGAAAGAATTGTGGACTCGTAATGGTAGAGGATGGGGATTCTTTTCCTGGCTGGGTGAAGTTGGAGTTTTGGTTGGCTCTTTGAACAAGGTTTACGTCCACTAGGCCACAATTACAGGTAAGCATTATTGGTAATATAAAAGTCCTAGTTCAAATCGTATATCGCTTTTAGTTCTTGTGCCAGTGCTTCATATTTCAGGATTTTCTTCTTGCATTTTTAATAATATTTTCGTTCAGTGGTATTTCTGTGGATATCCAGCAGGTAAGCATGTTTCTGTTTTTATAGAAGACTACTATATCAGGTTCATTATGCCGTACAGTACGATCTGTGATGATGTCAGTATCCCAGTATAATTCTTTTACGTTTTCTGTTTTCTACCTATTTTTTCAGGTAAGTATCGGTAGTAATGGTGTGTAATTTCATTTAAAAGATTTTCTTTTGTGACTTCTCTTGTATGTAGGAATACCAGCCAAATTGGTTGTGCCTGTCCCAGATAATGCCACAAGTGGGTGCAAGATAGGTACATCTATAGAGCAGATGTTGAATTGTTTCCGGAAAGGCATTGCATAGTCGGTAATCTGTCATTAGGGTGTCCTTTGGCTATTATTTTAGAAAATTTTAGTTGGTAATTTGCTGGTCTCTTGTATAGCTATAATAAATCCTTCGGTCCCCCAGCCTGAGCTCCATCTCTGAGAAACGTAACACAGATTCTGGCTTCAACGTCTGCTATGGTAAGTTGATGGATATCTTCCGTGTAAGTGCCTTCCTTCCACTCTTCGATTAGTTCCCTTAGCACCCCCAGTACCCAGTAAAGGTAATCTTTGACCTGCTAAGTTTAAAGGTGTGAAATTCCTGTCGGCGGTCTTAATAGCTGAAAGGAGAGGGTCATTTGCTTGGTCAAAGTAATGCTGCAGACTTCTGATGTGCTTTTCATGCATAGCAATGAGACTAATAATTCCTCTTCCACCTTTGTCCCTTGGAATGTAGAGTCTAATGGTTGAAGCATGGGGGTGGTGCATTCGGTGCCTTGTCATTGATATTCTGACTTGTCTATCGAGAGACTCCAGGTCGGTTTGTGACCATTTTAGAACTCCGAATGTATTAAGAATTACAGGTGCTGCTATTTATTACATTGATCGCAGCTATTTTATTCTTCGCATGAAGCTCTGTTCCCAAGACTTCACAAACCCTCTTCATAAATGCATTCTCCGCAGTCTTTTTTATTACTCCATCATCAATTTTTAGAGCTTGATGGATACCAAGATATCTGTAGGTTTCACCCAGATGTAACGGTGATAATGTTATTTCGTTAGTTAAAATAATCTCGTTAGATTCTTGGATTTTCCCTTTTTTACACTGCAGGAATGCACATTTTTCCACACCGAATTCCATACGAACAGCTTGGCTAAAGGATGCTACAAGTTCCATTTGCCCTTTAAGTTGTTCTGGGTTGCTCGCGTAACATTTTAAATCATCCATGTAAAGCAAATGGGAAATCTTTACTTGGGGATTGTTCTTCACAGCATAGCCATATTTGCTAGACTTAAGCATAAAACTTAGTGGGTTTATGGCCATGCAAAACATAATGGGCTCAAGCTATCCCCTTGGAATATCCCTCTTCGGACTTTTAATGGTTTGGTTTGATAGCTGTCCCCTGAGGAAGTAACGAGAAGAGATGTTTGCCATTGCTGCATTAAATATTAAAGACTTCTGACTATTGAGGTATATATCTATTAGATCTCCAGAATTTTAAGTAGCCATGAATGTGGTACAGAGTCGAACGCTTTCTTTTAATCGATCCAAGCGATAGATATGTTTCTTTTTATATGCTTGCTTTCCGATTACATTATCAATTATTAAGCCACTCTGTACTTCCTCTAGATCCTTTTCGGCTGCCGTTTTGTTCTCTTGCCAGTATATGGTGATTTTTTAGGTGTTTTGATATTGATTTTTCGAATACAGACGTGAAAATTTTATATATGACTGGTAGGCAAGTTATTGGCCTGAAGTTTTTAGAATCATCAATAAATTTATTTTTAGGTATCATATGCGTGATGCCCATGGTGAAAAAAGCAGGTATTGTTTCAGCGGGATTTTTTATTGCTTGGGTCAATTGTATTGCCAAGACTGCATGGACATGTGTGAGGTGCTTCCACCAGTATGCCTGGATTTTATCAATTCCGGGTGCTTTCCAGTTTCCTAGTGAGCTAACGGCCTGTTTAATATCGTTCTCTGTTATCTGGATTTCCCTCATTTTCGGTAAATCTTGCGTGCGGTGTATTTCTTCTTTAATCCAGTAAGCATCTTGATGTTCTTGCTCATTTCCCCAGATGTTATTCCAGAAGTTATACATTTCATCAGCTTTAACAAGCGCCCTATCAGGTTCTTCTTTTTGGGTGCTCAGTGCTCTAAGAAACAACTTCTGGTTGGTAATAAATTGTTTATTTTGTTTGCGCCGTTTTTCACTCTCATTGTATCGTCGCAAACGACACCCTAATGCAGCTATTTTTTGTTTCAGGTTGTCCATAAATTCCCTTAGGATACGAACGGAACCAGCTTCCAAGTTATTTTGTCGGATGATATCATTTACTATTCGTTTGGTTCTGTTCGACGGGTTATCATTTGTTAGGTATGTATGTAGTACTCCAATAGTTACCCTAATATCTTTTATTTTATTTTCCAGTCTCCTCTTCCAAGGTGGTATTTGAGGTTTATGATTTGATGATTGCGCCATCTCTCCTATCCTCAATCCGGTAACATGACAGACAGCAGCAGCGGCGCAGTAGATTAAATCACATGTGTCCTGAAGAGATAAACTTTGCGGTAAGTATTGGCTTAATGCTCTATTCATGATGGCGACAGTTGACTTTGTTTGATTATTATATTTAATTTTAGGAAGCCTTGGACGACTTAAGAAGTCAACACCACTATATTTCATACGGTACTCTTCAAATATCCGTCCAATTTCTTCGGTTACTATATTTTCTTCAGGGTGTGGTATGACCGAGTGCCGTGATTGTCTGCGAATTGAAGACGCGTGTTCACGGGATTGAGGTGTGTTGTGGGTGGTCTCTGAAATTTCATTTAGGTTGTCATTCTGTTCCTGTTCCGGGTCTTGTGTTTCTGCTAGTACTGCTTGCTTTAGATGATCCAGTTCTGCGTTTGATATGACTTTTCTACGTAATACTGAGCGTAATTGGTCTGCAAGTTGTTGCGATTCTCTAGGGAAATCGGGTCTAAGACTGATCCACTGTTCATAAAGCCGTATTCTATATCCTGTCTTGTTCTGTTCGCCATTAGTTGCCCTGTAGTATGCGCGTATCAAATCTAGGTTATCATTCCTGGTCCAGCGCACACGTCTCGTGCGGGGCTGCGGGTTAGGAACGGGGTCATTTTGAGTACGACCCAAGTTTTCTAACCCTCCATTATCGGTGCTTTGTCCGTTTCCGTCGCGTGACCTTGTGGTACGATTTCGCGTTGGGGCGCCACTTGCTTCGCCTACCTCCGCTAAGGTCGGTTCAGTCTGGCGAACAGGCGCCGATCCTCCACCTGTCGCATCCGAGGCTTGTTTTCTAGTTTGTAGAACCGATTATTTTATCTTCCCTTGAAGGGTGGTTAGCCCGCCAAAGGAGTAGTTGTGACCGTCTAGGGTCAAGTTTTGTGTTATGTGTCTGTATGGGGATAGGTGTATGGGAAGATAGTCTGTATTAGTGGAGCCCGCTCCCGTCGGGGTATGGCACAGGCTGTACGGCTTGCCCTGGGTACCGTAGCGGACACAGTAAAGAACCCTATCCCGGTTACTTTCCTCTGTCTGGCCTGACTAATTTTTTTTTTTTTCACAGCTTAAAGTTGGTTTTAGTGACAAGTCGGGATAATTCTTATCAACGACCTAATCGCGGTTCAACACAGTGCGAACGATAGAACCGGTAAAAAGAATTGTGGACTTCTGCATGGTAGAGATGATTCCTTCCTGGTTGTGAAGTTGGAGTTTCTTAAGGCTTTGAACAAGGTTTACGTCTACTAGGCCGTTATAGGTAAGTATTATTGGTAATATAAAAGTCTTGCTCAAATCGTATATGGCTTTTAGTTCTTGTGCCAGTGCCTCATATTTTGTGATTTTTTCTCTTTTGTTGCATTTTTAATATTTTCGTCTAGTGGTATTGTGATGTATAGCAGGTAAGCATGTTTTTGTTTTTTATAGAAGACTACTATATCAGGTCTATTATGCTGCACAGTACGATCTGTGATGATGTCAGTATCCCAGTATACTTTTACGTTTTCGTTTTCTACTATTTTTTCAGGTAAGTATCGGTAGTAGGGTGTAATTTCATTTAAAATATTTTCTTTTTTACAGATTTCTTGGTGTAGAATACTAGCCACCCGGTTGTGCCTGTCCAGATAATATCGCGGTGCAAGATAGGTACATCCAGAGCAGATGTGTTGAATTGTTTCCGGAAAGGCATTGCATAGTCGGCATCTGTCAGTAGGTAAATCCTTTTTGGCTATTATTTTTAGGAAATTTTTAGTTGGTATTTGCTGGTCTTGTATAGCTATAATAAATCATTCGGTCTCAGCTCTGAGCTCTCCATCTCTAAGAAACCGTAATGACAGATTTCGGTGAACGTCTGGGTTATATAAGTTGGATGGATATCTTCCATGCAAGGCTTTCCCTTTCCACTCCTCGATTAGTTCCTCAGCACCCCTAGTACCTGCAGGTAATCTTTGACCTGCTAAGTTTAAAGGTGTGAAATTCCTGTCGGCGGTCTTAATAGCTGAAAGGAGAGGGTCATTTGATTATCAAAGTAATGTTGCAGGACTTCTGATGTGTTTTCATGCATAGTAATGAGACTCACAATTCCTTCCAAATCTCTTTTGTCCCTTGGTACAGTGCTCCAATGGTTGAAGCTTACAGGGTGGTGATTCCGGTGCCTTGTCATTGATGTTCTGACTTTCCCATCGAGACTCCAGGCTGGTTTGTGACCATTTTAGAACTGGGTGAAATGTATTAAGAATTTACAGGTGCTGCCCACACATTGATCGCAGCTATTTTATTCTCTCGCATGGTGCTCTGTTCCCAAGACCTTACAAACCCTCTTCATAAATGCATCCTCCGCAGTCTCTCTTTATTACCCATCATCAATTTTTAGAGCTTGATGGATACCAAGATATTTGTAGTAGGTTTCACCTAGACGTAACGGTGAGGAATGTTATTCTGTTAGTTAAAATAACTTTGCTTGGGGATTCTTGATTTTCCTTTTTACAGTGCAAGAATGCACATTTTTCCATAATTAAATTCCATACGAACAGCTTGGTCAGTTGGGATGCTACAAGTTCCATTTGCCCTTTTAAGTTGTTCTGGGTTGCTCAAGGTAACATTTTAAATCATCCACAAAGCAAATGGGAAATCTTTACTTGGGGATTGTTCTTCAGCATAGCCATATTTCATGGACTTAAGTATAAAACTTAGTGGCTTCTATGGCCATGCAAAACATTAGTGGCCTAAGCTATCCCCTGGAATATCCCTCTTCGGACTTTTTAATGGTTTGGTTTGATAGCTAACCTTGAGGAAGTAACGAGAAGAGATGTTTGCCATTGCTGCATTGTACATTGAAGAGTTCTTGACTATTGAGGTATCTATCTTGTAGGATCTCAGAATTTGGTGAAGCTAGTGAATGTGGTACAGAGTCGAACGCTTCTTTGTAATCGATCCAAGCGAGATAAGGTTTCTTGGTTTTATATGCTTGCTTTCCGATTACATTATCAATTATGTTTCACCTGTACTTCCTCTAGACCCCTGGCTGCTGTTTTGTTCTCTTGCCAGTATATGGTGTGATTTGTTAGGTGTTTTGATATTGATTTTCTGAATATGACGAAAATTTTATATATGACTGGTAGGCGTGCTATTATCTGAAGTTTTTAGGATCTCTAAATAAATTTATTTTAGGTATCATATGCGGATGCCCATGGTGAAAAAGCAGGTATTGTTTAAGGATTTTTATTGCTTAATAATTGTATTGCCAAGACTGCATGGACATGTGAGGTGTTTCCACCAGTATGCCCTGGATTTTATCAATCCTGGTGTGCTTTCCAGTTCTTAAAGTGAGCTAACGGGTCTGTTTAATATCGTTCTCTGTTATCTGGATTTCCCATTTCGGTGAAAAATCTTGGTGCGGTGTATTTCTTCTTTAATCCAGTAAGCATCTTGATGTTCCGCTCACTTCCCCAGATGCCATTCCAGAAGTTATACATTTCATCAGCTTCAACAAGGCCCTATCAGGTTCTCTTTGGGGTGCCTGAAGTGCTCCCAAGAAACAACCTTGGCTGGTAATAAATTGTTTATCTTTGTTTGCGCTGTTTTCACTCATTGTATCGTCGCAAACGACACCCTAATGTAGCCATTTTTTTGTCTCTAGGTTGTCCATAAACTCTTAGAATACGGAACGGAACCAGCTTTCCAGTTATTTTGTTTGATGATATCATTTACTATCTGTTTATTCTGTCTGACGGCTATCATTTGTTAGGTATGTATGTAGTACCCAATAGTTACCCTAATATCTTTATTTTATTTTTCAGTCTCCAAGGTGGTATTGGAGGTTTATGATTTGATGATTGCACCATCTCTCCTATCCTCAATCCGGTAACATGACAGACAGCAGCAGCGGCGCAGTAGATTAAATCACAATGTTATTATTATTATTTTATTATTTTATTATTTTATTATTTAATTATTATTATTTTTTATGGATTAATTTATTATACACCTTACCCCAAACACTCCAAGGAGGATATTTCGTGACCCCTTATTCAAAGTGGACAAGCTTTATTAGTCAATGTTTCAACGATATTGGCGAGTCTGAATATTTATAAAAATTTGCAAAGTAAAATATGTTGGAAAAATAATTAATCCATACATATATAAAAGCTCAAAGGGTTTTTTTGTTGCATCCATCCCGCCGAAACCGCTTTACCAATCTTGATGATTCTTTTTTTAAATGAAAAGTATATATGTGTAGATTTGTTATGAAGTATTTTTATAGTGCTTAATGGCTATTTCTTTGTATAAAACGACTAAATACTAAAACATACCTGAAAAACACCTACACACAATACCTCCAGAAATAAATTATTTGTCATTGTCAGTGGTGTGTCAGTTAGATTATATATAACGTTTTTAGATATTTTAGAGTGAGTTCATGCCGCCAGCTTTACATACATAAATATTAGCACAAAGGTTCGTTTAAACGACATTAGTGAATTAGCTACACAAAGCGATTTTAGGAAATTCATCCTCTTAGAGAGTAAAATTATCTCGGAACAGTTTATTGTATGAAAATTCCTTACTATTTGGTCTAGAAGAATGAAATCCTACAAAAAGAATTAGAAGAAATTTCTGAAATTCATCAACCAAATGGGTAAAGTTAGTAAAAATTTATATAAAACTTGGTGACCTCTGGATTATACACATAAAAATTGGCACAAAGGTAAAGCGAATTTATGAAATTTATACCCTTAGGGAGTAGAATAGAGAATGAAAGTTTGCTCTACGAAAATGCAATACTATAACATTATAAACCAGACAGTATAAAATGTTATACAAGGGTTTATTTAGTGACATCATAACGAAATATATCTTCCTCAATTATCCTTCAAAGAATAAAAAATAACCTATAAAGAGAGTATTAGTGCTCTTAATAAATAAAAAAAATGAAAAATAAAAAACATCTATGCTCACTAGCTCTCTATAAAGAAGTAAAAAATCATGTAAATCAATGCATGAACGATTCGAGGTGGAACGCGAACGTAGTCATGGAAAAGTTAAAAATTCTATTAAATTCATTTTATTTAACTGACTAATTTTCATTGAAAGGAATTTTGTAATTCGCCACCATATTAGTTAAAACTAAGAAACCTATATTATCAATTTGAAGTTTTTATGATTTTGACTTATACCATTTACAAAATCTGAACATTATTTTAAAGTTAGTGGGACTCATTAAAGCCCTACAAAGATGTAAACTGGGGTACTTGAAAAATGATGAATAAAAACGTAAAAATATGATTAGTGTTAATATAAGGTATTACATACATATGTTTAAATAACGAACTTAACAAAAACAAATAGATTTAAAGATTCACTAAAAAAAGTAGTAATGCTAACATTAACAAAGACACACACAATTATCTGATCGCAATCCTATCCAAAAACAAACAAGCAAAAACAAAATAACAACAAAACATCAGGTTAACATGATGACAGATCATGATCGATGACAGATATAGAATTCTTACGGAAAGTTACATTTTACGATATAATTTTTTAACTGTTAAAGGCAAACCCCATTTAAACACAAAACTTTTTAACACCTACTACTGTATCTAAAAGACATTTTTTTTAAATTACTAAATTCTTAGCCACGCTTCTGTTTTTCTTGGCTGTTGTGCGTCACGTCACAGATTAACAGGCCCACGTTTGCACCACAAGGCGATGCTGCAGACCACTAGGTAGAGAAATTTATGTTATACAACTTGTAGTCAATCTACACAAATATTATCAAAAGCTTTTTTTCTTATAAAATGTGTTCAGATTTTGTAAAAAGTATAAGTCAAAATCGCAAAACTTAAAATTGATGAGTTTCTTAGTTTTTAACTAATATAGTGGCGAATTACAAAAATTCCTTTTCAATGAAAATTAATCAGTTACATAAAATAATTTAATAAATTACTAGCTTTTTCCCGCGACTACGTTCTACGTTCGCGTTACACCTCGAATCGTTCATGCATTGATTTAAATGATTTTCTACTTCTTTATAGAGAGCTAGTGAGCATAGATGTTTTTTTATTTTTCATCTTTTTTTATTTATTAAGAGCACTAATACTCTCTTTATAGGTTATTTTTTATTCTTTGAAGGATAATTGAGGAAGATATATTTCGTTATGATGTCACTAAATAAACCCTTGTATATAATTTTATACTGTCTGGTTTATAATGTTATAGTATTGCATTTTCGTACAGCAAACTTTCATTCCCTATTCTACTCCCTAAGTGTATACATTTCATAAATTTGCTTTATCTTTGTGCCAATTTTTATGTGTATAATCCAGAGGTCACCAAGTTTTATATAAATTTTTACTAACTTTACCCATTTGGTTGATGAATTTCAAAAATTTCTTCTAATTCTTTTTGTAGGATTTCATTCTTCTAGACCAAATAGTAAGGAATTTTCATACAACAAACTGTTCCGACATAATTTTACTCTCTAAGAGGATGAATTTCCTAAAATCGCTTTGTGTAGCTAATTCACTAATGGCGTTTAAACGAACCTTTGTGCTAATATTTATGTATCTAAACCTGGCGGTATGAACTCACTCCTAAAATATCTAAAAACTTAAAATATAATCTAACTGACACACCACTGACAATGACAAATAATTTATTTCTGGAGGTATTGTGTGTAGGTGTTTTCAGGTATGTTTTAGTATTTAGTCGTTTTACACAAAGAAATAGCCATTAAGCACTATAAAAATACTTCATAACAAATCTACACATATATACATTTCATTCAAAAAAAGAATCATCAAGATTGGTGAAGCGGTTTCGGCGGGATGGATGCAACAAAAAAAACCTTTGAGGTTTTATATATGTATGGATTAATTATTTTTCCAACATATTTTACTTTGCAAATTTTTATAAATATTCAGACTCGCCAATATCGTAGTCCACAGTGTCCAGCCTGTTTAGCCAAACGTAGGCCGATTCCTCTTCGGAGGCGTGCGGCGTCGCGTCGTGACCCTGGCTGATGGAGGAGTCTGAAGACGCTCATCCGCGCAGAGGAGCAAGTTGACTGCGTAGCGTATTGCGTATTAATCGATTCTGAAACTTTTTATCTCATTTATAACATATTACGCAAGTTTATTATCTTAATCTCGATTTTAATAGATAAATATGTGAAATGCCACCTGAGTATCTTCCGCCATGACATGTTTTTACTTTTTTGTTATGGTAAAATGATTTTTATAAACTTTATTCAATAAAGTATATTTTCCTCCATTTGGTGATTTTTTAATTTTAAGCGAAAATTAAGTATAACATTTTAGGAAAAAGAAACACTGTAATATTTAAAAGAATAAGAAGAAATTAGTCTTATTTTGAAAGGAAAATATAGAAAAAACTCTTTCTATAGAAAAAGTCTTTATACTAACCAGAATCCGGTGACATATACGCGGTCTCACCGGAAACATTACTTATTACTTCGCATAACTTGAAGAATATCTACTTTTAATAATGAACACTTCAGAAATACACCAGTAAAAACATTTATTATTTGAGATTAAAACTCGAATTAAATTATAAATATTAGTTACCTATGTTGTTATAGCTTTTATAGGCCTGTTTAACGACTTAATAAGTTACCTAGCGAAAAAATCTGTGCGCGTACCTACCACTATTGTTACAGGTTAATTCGTTAAAGAAATATGTTACACAAGTTAAAAACGCTAAAATTTTAATGGTATTACTTGTGCATTATTGGCCTTATAATGTAATTTGTTGGAATTATATCTTCTTTAAATATAATTAGACTTTTTAACGACTTTTAAGTTACCTAGGAAAAAATCTGTGCACGTACCTACCAGTATTGTTACAGGTTAATTCGTGAAACAAATGTGTTACATATTATTCGTGGTATTAGTGGTATTATATTGGAATCAGCTTGGCATTAGTGGGGCATTATATGAGAAATTTGGTATTTAATTTGTATTTTTGGCATTACTTTGGCATTAGTATACAGACATTTGTCAGCGGTTTACTCCTTGTAGATAATCAAAAAGTTTTTTGATAAAATTTGCTTTTCATGTCAGATCATTTCTATGAAAAATTACATTAGATTTTTATTAAAGACGCTGGGTAATTAAAACATTGACTAATAAACCTTGTCCACTTTAAATACGGGGTCACGAAATATCCTCCTTGGAGTGTTTGGGTTAAGGGGTGTATAATAAATTAATCGTTGTTTTATAATAAAAACCATAAAACATTTATTTGTGAGTAAAATAATGCAATGGTTGGATATCTCTCCTTTATAATTCGGTGACTAAAAATACACTAAAATAATTAGAAAAAAAATCTTGTACTTATTTAGTAATTACGTCAATATTAATTAATTGACTTTCTAGTCTATTTTATTTTATGTACAAATATATTATTAAATTTTAAGCATTAAGTAATAAAACACTTTGTGCCCTCTTATATCGTAAAAGGTTACGAAATATACTCCTGGTTACACCCCTTACAGAAAACAGTGTAAGGGGTGTAAATAAATTGTATAATCACTGTTTTTTATAATAAAAACTATAAAATATTTCTTAT